AGCTAAAAATGTGGTTTTTACATATAATTACTATGGTATTATTGGGGAACATTCCCTTAATTACATACCTGTGTTGGTCAGTTAGAATGGGCCTAGTGCCCGAAAATATGTTTTTATGAACCACTCTAATACACATGTTGATAACATTTCAATACTTACAAATCTCACAAGTTGGCAGTGTTTTATTTAAATTAATAAATGAATCCCAATTACGTCAAATGAATGGCTAACTGTACTGGGCACAAGTATTGTTCTTGAAATTTATTGAAACTGCAAATTAAGTACAATCATTTCTGAACACCCTCAAATGTAAATAAAACTCAGTACTTTTTATACCCGAGCGCACTTGTGCACAAGGGTATATTAATTTTGTTCACATAACGGTTGTTTGTAACAGCCAAAACGAATCGAGATAGATATAGACAAATGTATACATAAATGATCAGGATGAAAAAAGAAATCGATTAAGCCATGTCTGTCTGTCCGTCCGTCTGTCCGTCTGTCCGTCTGTCCGTGTACACGATAACTCGAGCGAAAATTGAGATATCTCAACGAAATTTGGTATGTAGGTTTCCCTTAATCCAAGGTAGGTTGGTATTGAAAATGGGCGAAATCGGACTTTAACCACGCCCACTTCCCATATAACGGTAATTTCCAGAAATACGAAAACTGCGATATTTTAGTAACTACTGAAGATAATTCACTCAAAATTGATATTTACAATAATTTTTAGACGAAAAATAAGAATATTATAAATTTTTGGAAAATGGGCGTAGCCACGCCCACTTATGGTTACATGTGTATATCTTGGTAACCGCTGCACCAATTTCTTCCAAACTTGGCACAGTTGTTGGCCTTCGCACAACATACCAAATGGCCGAAAATTTTTAAAATCGCTCAATAACCACGCCTACTTCCCATATAACGGTAATTTTCAGAAATACGAAAACTGCGATATTTTAGTAACTACTGAAGATAATTCACTCAAAATTGATATTTACAATAATTTTTAGACGAAAAATAAGAATATTATAAATTTTTGGAAAATGGGCGTAGCCACGCCCACTTATGGTTACATGTGTATATCTTGGTAACCGCTGCACCAATTTCTTCCAAACTTGGCACAGTTGTTGGCCTTGGTACAGCATAAAAAACCGCCGAAACTTTTTAAAATCGGACAATAACCACGCCCACATCCCATATAACGGTAATTTAGAGAAATACAAAATCTTCGATAAATCAGTAAATATTGAAGCTAATTTATTCAAAATTGATGCTTGCAACAATTCTTTACCAAGAAATACGTTTATGGTAAAATTTTGGAAAATGGGCGTGGCACCGCCCACTTATGATCACATATAAGTATATCGGTAACCGTTCTACCAATTTGTACCAAACTCGGTATGGTTATTGTACTTGCCACGTGTAAGCAAAACGTTGAAAATTATTGAAATCGGACTAAAATAACGGCCGATTCTCATATAACGGTAAATTTAAGAAATGCTTGAAACTTCAATATTTCGAAATTGAAGGACGCTAATTTACTCAAAATTGATACACCTCGGCTTACCATCTAGCGGAAGGTTTCGGAAGGGTGAAAAAACATATATTTAATACTTGCGCCGGGTATTTAATGTTCGGCTCCGCCCGAACTTAGACTTTCTTACTTGTTAAGTCTATTCCACACTTAATACTGAGTACTTTGAATCGATCCTGAGTACATGTATCAAACCGATTATTGGAACAGAGTATTTTTGAGTACTGAGTACTTTTGAGTTCTTTTGTGAGTACTGAGTTCTTTGGAGTTATTTTGTGATTACCGAGTTCTTTGGAGTACTCAGTATCGATACTTTTAAAAAGCGGGTTCCGTGGATCCTTTTGAGAATCGAGTTCTCAGTACTTTTGGTATCGATACTGCCCAACACTAATATGTATGTACATATGTATATAATTTTGTGGGAAAACGAAATCAAAGTTTTATCAATTCATATACATACATATGTAGTTGGTATACAAAATAACAGAACATTATTGGGGAGTTTAGTAATTTGTTATACTAAACATATCGTTAGTCACGGTGGGTCGGAACGAAGTTCAATCCAAAAGTCTTGGCACTTCAAATTTTCTTGTGCATTTTTTTATTATGTTTTCTAATGGTGATTTGGTTTCTCCCAAAAACTGTTGCCCTTCCCCTGTGCAAAATGTGTTTGATGTTACACTCAACCCTTTAAATGGGCATGTTCTTGTCGTTTTGTCCTTGTCTAGATCATGCATTTCATAATATTGACGTTTTAAACAACCATATGATATTCAGGGCAACCATCTCCCCTGACAAAGCTTCACAGGGCAGAGAATGTGCCTCGTTTGCCTTACAAGAGTGTGGCATTTTTAGAAACAAACACAAAATTATCTCACCCGTATATATTTTAATTTAGAATCGAACACGAAAAGAGAAAGGAGCATTCAACATTTTTTTGTAGAAACGAAGTCACCATAAATTATTTAAGACCGAAATCGAGTTTTTGTGTTTTTTGTGCTGGAAACATTGTTAATCAACAATAACATCGACCCAAGGGCTTTTGTACATTAAATTTTCTTATACGTTTTATTTTCATTTTGTTTCTTAAAAAATTTAAATTCAAAAAGGAAAAAATCGTTAAACAATACAAGAGAATCGAGTTTCATGCTGAAAAATGAGCATCCATCTTCCAATTACTTCATATCACCGCGCAGAAACAAGTGGTATGACGAAGGGTGCCGCCCGGCTGCTGCAGAATACTACCCAACATACCAAGCTACCCTGCAGCCAATTGCAACACGCTCGACAGTTGAACGATACCAGGAAAAAGGGAAGGAAAAGAGACGCCTTTTCCGGATAAAGTAAATAGAGCCTTCAAGACCGAGGATGGTTCCTGTAGAGCCTTCAAGACCGAGGATGGTTCCTGTAGAGATGAAGATGGAAATATGTTAATAGATGTCCAGAGTACACTTGAGATGTGGAGAGAACACTTCTAAACGCTTTTTGGTGACAATTGGTGGCGTGCTTGATGAAGGAGAACGCCAACCAATATATAGGGACGAAGCTCACGTCCAATACGAATTGAAAATAGCTATAAGGCAGCTTAAGAACAACAAGGACCCCTGGGCCGACGGTATACCGGCTGAACTGGATCCTTGGTGGACAAAGTTTTTCACTACCTCAAAGTCCCTTAGTTCCGGGACGTTGCGATTCAGATTGACCTTTAAGCTCACGATAGTTGGTGCAAACGGCGGGATTTACCTTCAGATGGATTGGACAAAGTACACTGAAATTCCAGTCTTCGGGCATGTATTCATCAGACCAAATTGTGCTTAACAGCTGTTACATGCCCTTTGGCAGCATAAAATAATAAAAAAAATCAGTTCTCTTGGATATATGTATGTTTAACGATTTTTTCGTTTTTGAACCTGAATTTCTTAGAAGAAATGCAAATAAAATTAAAAGTACAAAGGCCTTTGGGTTGACCTGACTGTTGAGCAACAATGTTTAGAGCACAAAAACACAAAACCTCAAATGTAACACTCTGAAAACGTTCGAAATGGTTTCAGAATTTCTAAAAGCGTTTCCTTAGTAAATTAGATTTTAGTGTAATTGGACTACTAACACGACGTGATAAATTTGGTTTCAACGAAGAGCTGTATACCGTTGTAAAAACGTTTGTGAAACATAAAAGTACGCCAGAAAATACTAACTCCAAGTTTTTCAAAGCTAAGTAAAAGCATTATATCAAAAGTTGCAATTACGGAAGAAATAAAAAATTAGCTTGTCAGAGCTATCTCATTAGACAAGCTTTTAAAATTACTTCTAAACTTAACTCAAATAACTGTTTTTATTTTAAATGAAGCCGCTTAAAATTAAGGAAGTAGGACAACAACCGATGTGCGGTTTCAAATAAAATTCTCAGATTCGGTTTTGGTTTACAAATCGAGTAAATCGATTTTTTTTTCATTTCGAATACTATTCTGGGAATGAACCAAAATGTGTTCGTTCGAAAACAGCGAACACTAAGTCGTACGCCTTTAGCTCGATCTCCATTTGAGAAAATGTGTGAAACTTAGAACGTGCCCGTATAAAAAAAATAATAATTTCAACGGCGGTAAAATATACTGGTTCGCTTCTTTTACTGTTTATAGTTAAGAACTTAAGATCATTTGCCATCATGTCGCTTTATTTTGTCACTTAAATTTGATCATGTTTCGACTGTGAAACTATGTAGAATCGCTACCAATCAAGAAAATACGATAACTATGAGTACTTTATTTTAAACTGTTTTTGCGCCAGACATAATTTTTAACAAAAACGGTTTAGAAATATCTACATTATACATATGCGAATATCTTAGCAAACTTAATAGTAAGATAGAGGATGTCCATCACATGTAATTTCAACATAGCTACACTTTTACACATTGACTGCGAGTACAAAAATAAATTATCAGCAGCTACATCTATACTTATCATAATACAGAATACAGAATATAAATTTGCACCACATAAGACTGCTATCTCTAGAAAGTTACGCACTTGCATGGCATTAATGTACCAAAAGCTTCACGAATTGGCAATTAAAATTACTCCCCCCCACAACACCTGATTGCATTCATTGTTTCTTTGGTAGAATTAGATTAGAGAGTATAATTACGCACCAAATGATGTTTTCACTGCACTCGTTAGCTGACCTAGTTCTTATTGTGCACCGTCACGGCCAACATCGACTTCAGCAAAATTGAACCTTAATATTACTACTTAATAACTTACTGACCTCAATTGGTGACCATTTTTCTAAAAAGCTAACCTTTTCAAGTTGTCGTTATTTCTTTCACGTCCCTAACTCATACAGCACGCTTCATGTACCTAACAATATTTCACTAGCCATTTATTAATCCTGTTTTGAAATACCCCAACATACAGCCAATTTATAGAACGAAAATATTTGTTTTCCTTTTATTTCTATTTTATAGCCCCATCAATTGGCGGGCTCAGCGGCCTCAGCAATTCTCGACCAATCGCCACTGCCACTTCCCGGCACACCCTCCCCAGGCAGTAGTTCGGCATCGACCGGCTCCGGCTCGGGATCCGGTAAAAGTATGTAGCACAGAAGTCTCACACACAATCAAGTTACATTATTCAGCCTTGTTCACTGAGCAATTTACCTTAGGTACTGATACAATAAAACGCGGTGCGTCGCCTTCCTCTGTTAAACATGTGAAAATCCAAGAATCCTCCAGCTCCTATACCATAAGAGAGAAACAACCGACAAAAGACTCACCATTTGATGATTCTTCACTGCATTCAGTTGGTTCAACAACATCTACAGTAACAACGATAAGGAAAGGCGTCGAGTTTTATGAACCACAAAAACCTCAAATAAAGGCTGACGAAAGTAGTTACTCGAAATATGGTGAGCTGGGGGTGAAAACGCGCACAACCTACAGTGAAACGAGCCCTTATAGTAGTGGTAAGGGGCCACTTTCAACGTTGTCAACTGAAGATTACAAAGCCATGCGTAACAAATCGAGTGCCACATCGTCCTCCTCGTCGTCACAAGCGACAGTTTTAAGCGCGGCTGGTTCCACTGCCACATCAGCGCCTACCACATCGTCTGACGATTCTGATGATATCATCTCGTACAAGTCATCAGCTTCGACGAATGCTTTGCTGGCGCAATCCCAGGCTATGACCACGTCGCAACTTATGTCCAAGTATCTGAAAAGGGAACCACGAGTTCAGTTTACCCCCATAAAATCTCCCGATTCTCCATCTCCACCAGGGAGCGATGGTCTACCGAAAGGCGTCTACCAAATAACTGCCGCGAACGGTAAATCCACAGGCGCCATTCGCAAACACTCCGCGCAAAGTGCTGCAAATGATTCACACACAAATACCAACAACAAGGGCTTATTATCACCATCGAGACAAGTAAACGACAAAGAACCAGTACAATCAGCAACCTCGGCATCAGCGATACCATCATACACAGCACCATCAACGTCATTTGTATCGACTGGCAGGCGGCTATTCGACAGTTTAGCGTCATCTGAAGCAGAAGGGCGAACACCAGCGGGAGGCACCAGCACAACAACAGCAGCAATGTCTGCAACGTATAACGATAATAAAAGTGTAGCTAGTAGTCACATTAGTAATAAGAATCAAAGTTCAGAGCACAGAAGTTATGGTAGTAATTTGTTTGGAAGTAGCGGGCACAGTGGCACAAGTCCCTTTGCCACTAATGGCAATGGCTCCTCAACAACAAATGGCACGCACAATGCCATGCACCTCTACGGCACACTGCCCAAAAGCGGCCCAGCGGCTAATGCAACAGGTAATGGTTCCTCGGGCGGTGCAGCTGGAAAGTACAGTTCCACTACATCCGCCTCGTGCTACTCCGGCTCGTCATCGTCCGGCGGGCCCACAGCCAGTAGTAGTGGAGTGAGCTCAATGGCTAGCTCCACCACCAGCTACGATTATTACAATACCAGCTCAACCTCGTATACGTCAGCGGCTAGCACGCGATCCTATGGAAATGGCGGCAGTAACGGTGGGGGTAATTATCACACGCTAGGTACATACAGGGTGCAATATGCAGCCACAAATCCCTTTTTGGATGCATTCGAAGCACCGGGCAATGGCAGTAGTGCGGGTAATGGCTGCCACGGGGGTAGTAGCAATAATGGCGGCAACAGTCGTAGCTATGGGGCTATTGAACAGCAGCCGGGTAATGGAAACAATGGTAGTAGCAGCAGTCACCATCGAACGTCGTTACTGGCTGCTTTGCATGGCAGCGATTCAAAAAATGGCAGCGACGAGTTTGATGATTTGAAGTAGAATCGTAAGGAGAGTGAGAGAATGAGTTTTATTTGGCATTTCTCAGTGATATTAAAAATGAGCGTTTAAGTTTTTTAAAACAATTTATTAACATGAAAACAAATTTTTAAATGTAGTTCACGCTGATTTAAAATGAAGGTTCACATATGTACATGCGCATACATATGTATTTAGATACTTCAGTGTCATCACTCAGATTTGCTAAATGAAATATTTTCTCCGAATTTTTATAACACTTAAAACTAAATACACCTATATAACAAAAACAATAATTTTTTAGTTAATAACATAACGAATACCAGCTTACAAAATGTGTACTCACACATATTACATACGTACATTTGTACATACCGTTGACTTTTTTAAATGTTTACACTTTACAAATTTACAAATAAAAAACAAGGTAAACAACAAAACATTAAAGGTCTGGGCAGGAAAACAACCTCAATTAAATGACAGTAAAACAAGAACATATGGTGAGATACATACATGCATACATATCCAGCCCTAACCGCCAAAAAATGTAAGCGAATTTTTTTTAATTTTCTTTTTGATGCAGAAATGCACCTGGATGCTGTAATAGAATTTCTGTATCAAAAATAAAATTTTGAAAAAATGTCGCTTACATCTTTTTGGCGGTTAGAGATCGATGTGTTCTACTGATTCAGGCTCATATCGTCGTTTAAAGTGCAAAACCGCGTATCAACAAAATGCAAAACCGCGTATCAGCAAAATGCAAAGCCGCGTATGTGAAGTTGTAGAAATTATTTTCTTGATCGTAAAAACACTCATTTCAAAATGGTTCTCTTTTTTATAAAGCAATCGCATTTCTGGCTAGTATATTTTTTGAGGACGAATGGATAAGGATTGAGCTTGTGTGAGCAAATCCAATTTTTGGCAGCCAATGTAAGTTACGCGGTTTTGCAGAATGACGATACGCGGTTTTGTACTTTAAACGACGATATGTATTTGTAAAAAGGTATGCAGAAAAACAAAAAATAAAAGCACACGTTAATGTCTATTTCATATGAATGAGCCATAGAAATTATAAAAATATATGAGGGTTTGACAACGGTGTCGTAAGTGTCGTGTTTTTGTATGTCGTAAAGTTTATAAGCTTAAATAAATGTTTAGAGAACTTCAAATTAAACCAACTATTTTTTAGCACTACAAAAATTCATAATATGACTTTGATGGTACTTTGCGAACTCCCTTAGGCGTTTAAAGTTTACGACATACAACGATACGACACTTACGATACCGTTGTGAATACCCCAATCACTAAAAATACAAAATTAAATTGACTGCTGATACCAGGACCAACCATATACACCAAGCTATGCGGAAACGAATTTTCAATACCAAAAAACGTTATCGCTTTATTTATGTGTACTTGTTCATTTTGTTTCGACATATGTAAATACGAAAAGAAATAAAAACACATACAATAGATATATAAAACAAATGCGTTAAATAAAATGCAAACAATGAATGCGTGGCAATCCAAGATAATGATACAGACTTATTCAGATGTAATAGGTATACATACAGAAATTTATGCATACATATGTACATATGTATGTACATATAGAAAACTTGCATGCATGCATAATATTTATATTATACATGCGAACTAGCCCCATAACTAGACGAATATATACTACACATACATACATACACATAATAGCCTTTTTGAATTTTACAAGATTTGAATTAATGTTGTATATACATACTCACATATGTATGGATTTATGTGCATATGTGTATGCAAACCTACGGTTGGGCACTGGTACATTATGCACGCAAATGTTAATGCATATTTGTTCATGTGCATGTGTGTTTGTACATATGTATGCATATATATATGTACATACATATGTATGTATTTGACGCACAAAGGCATCAAATAATTATACTAATCTTAATGCATACATATACATACATACATACATATACATACTTGTACACAAAACCAAATTGTTTTACAAATTTATTTTATAGGAATTTGTGAATTTTCGAAAACTTTATTGCTTCTTCTACTAACAAACTACATGCATATGTACATAAATATTTACATAAGAATAACTTAGTGTATATGTATGTGTTAAACTAACACAGACAGTTAGTTATACCTACAACTCGACATAAAAAATGCATTTGATACGTTCGTTCCCTTCGGACCCTTTCAGTGATAAAATACTTAATTTATCCAAATCAAGTTATTTGCAGAAAATTCCACTTTTACCAGTCCTTCTAAATACATATATAGTAATAGCTCGAAGAACTTGTATAAAGAGAAAGGGCAAACACATTTAACAAATCATAGTCCCAAAATTGCTAACAGTATTCGCTAAGTGGTATCGCCTCAAGCCGATCACCAACATGCACACAAACGACAATTACAGTTTAATGGTTGATAACAGTATTTTATAATAACAAAAAACAAAAATAATCTAACAAAAATCATTTATAGGTTTATATCAAACAACAAATAGTGTTAGTCACTTTAAAACTTCGTACGTAAAAAAGAACCAACATATATTAGACCAATCCACCAATTCATATTCTCAAAATCCACATTACCTTCATTATTAGGAACAAATTACAAACTCATAACATTTCAAAGGAACCGGTTAATTACCAAAGGGTACGAAGGAGCATTTCTCCGATGTGGAAAATTTGATGCAATTCAACAGCTCCCCTTTAAACGAACCCAACTGCATCCAAACCTTCATATCGGTAAAATGTTGATGCATACCTTTGGTTGATTAATCGATTCTAATACATATTGGATTATAGCCTATAAAGAAAAATGCATACCCATTTATATATACATGCATACTTTAAATAGAGTATCTAAACTGAAAGCAACAAGAACCTTACCTAAACCGAACCGCATTCCGCAACTTATATTACAATCTAAAAATTTAAACTAAATTACAAATTACCAGTACTTACATATACTAAAATATACATTAACTATACCTACCATATATGTATATAAATAACTAAATAAATATATACATACATATACTTATATCTACAATAGACAACTATACTGTATACAAAGAGAAAACATATTAGGCTAAAAAAATAACTAAATTCCTGCTGGGTAATACAGAAATTCTGGACGATGGAATTTTTGAATGGTTTACTTTTAGTACATACATACATACATATGTATTCGTGTAAAAAAAGTAGCAAACGAAATCGCTTGACTGAGCGACAGCGCATATGGGCGTGTCGATGGTAACAGAACAGGCTCTATAGTGCATCTGATAAATGCGAAACGAAAATGAACAGAATTTATCTTTATGATTAGAGGATAGATAGAGACGAAAAAAAAATCCCCCACATATGTAAATACATATATACATGGATAGATATTTGCATACACTTGAAACGCGTTGTCAGTTTAATACGAATAAAGTCTGATATACATACTTACATACATACACGCGTGTGCTATATAAACGCAGTACTACATACATACATACATGCAAACTTATATATAAACAAATAAAATAAATATATATGAAAACATACTATAGCATTCATACGAGTGTACAAACATACATATAAACAATTTAGCGGAAAAAAATGAAATAAACCCAATTTATTTAATTGCAATAAATTATTTTGCTATCAGACCTCTAAAAAAGTTAAAATCAGGAAGGTAAACCAGTTTAATACCGGATTAACCAATTTTATCTACCAGATAATTAACTGAACCATTAAGCGAACCGAAATTTTCCACAAACTTTTTATATAATTTTAATGTTCGTAGCAATTATTGATAGACAAATTTTGCCAACTTTTTATTTTCTTCTTTAGTTAAATACCTATCAATTGCTTATATTCAATAAGATATATCTGCGGATAAAAAAATAAGATTCCTATATAAAAATCCATCTTAGACTTAACTGTCATCGACAAGGTTAATGTTGACCGTATATCGCTTGTCAGAAGAATTAACTATTAAATTTCAAAGTTGATATTGCCACCAGTGATGACCGTCAAGTCTCGGATGGGTTCTAACATCAGAAAGTAGTTTTTGCGTAAATTGCAGATAGGTCGTATTGAATATAAGCCCTCCATTTGTATTTTTGTTTGTTTACCATCTGAAACTTTTTTATACTATTTCGACTGCTGAGTAGAAGATCGACCTATCCCGACAGCCAGTTCGAAAACGCCCTATCTCGAATAACTTTTCAACTTATTTCAGAATTTGTTTGAAGAACGTCCTATTTCAGAATTCTCTCTATATCAGCACATTTTCAATACATTTTGAAGCGAGATAGGACCGAATTCTGAGATAGGGCATTCTTCAAACAAATTCTGAGATATGATGTTTTTCAATAAAATTCTGAAAAAATGCGTTCTTGAAAAGTTTTTTGAGATAGAGCGTTTTTGAGGTCTATCTTCCACTCAGCAGTCGATTTGTAGCGTGGTTCAAAAGTTATGTATGTTTTTACATATTTTTGTATATTGTTACTAAATAAATATAACAAAAACATACATACATAGTTTACTTTTTTAATTCCCGAACCGTTGGGCCGAACAAAAACCCCGGTGCAAAGACAAACGAACCAATCCAAAGGTGGAAAACGGCTCGAACCGCTGAACCGAACAAACCAAATTTTTTATCCGGTTCACGGCCCTGGTTAGAATAATTTGTGGTATAAGGCCACTTAATTATACCCATTTAAATAAAAAAAAAAAATTCCGTACGTAATGAAATACATCTAAGATTGTCCAATACCTCGGTTACTTTTCAGAAGACTTAAGGATTTCCTAATTTTACATTCTTCAAAATTTATTAAGCTTTCATACAGATTAGAGAACACGCACATGGCAAAACCCAAATTTTGCAGATTTCTGCAATATACTGAGTACACTAACGAACGAAACAAAGCGCCCAAAGCTCTTCAAAGGCTTTAACACGTTCGCTACCAACCGTATTTAGGCAGTGCGTCATCACAGACCAGGTACTTGGCCTTTATGTTCAAATTTATTATGTTCAAACAAGCATAAATATATGTGCTTACCGTCCTCCGTGTATTTGATTCACTATGAAGCTAATATTTTCTCTCTTAAAGTCGGTAAAGACGTTCACACGTGCACTGTAAATAAACATAACCTCATACTTTACAGGTAGCTGTACTCCCGAGACCACTTGTCACAAACGTGTGCCTATAGACCACACTGTATCCAACAACCCGCTATCGCAAACGGTGGAGACTGGAGGTATAATTTAATTAAGTTAGACCGGCGTCACACATTTGTGTCGGCGGTCCCACGTGAAAACCCAGCTGACAAATATATGTGACGCCTGGTAGCGAACGTGTTAAAAGACTTAACCCGTACATGGGCGAGCGCAGAGCAAAAGTTCTCGTAACTGATAAACGGCCAGTTTTTCATCTCAGTTTAAACGCTCGAGTTAGCTGGTTTAAGCAAAGATTGGTCAATCAAATTTCAGCCAGCCTTTAAATATAAATGCAGTTTGCGCGATCTAAGTTCAAACTGCTAATCAAAAACTAGCCCTAAGTACAAGCCGCAACTAATATGCTTTTGAACCATACAAACTTTTAAAATTTATTGTTATTTTTCGTGCTTTTTTTTGAACTCATTGTATGTACATGCGCGTACGAGCTCGTGTGGAAGTCAAGATTTTTCGGCCCGTACCCGCGGCCCTTCGAAGGAGCCCGCCGGATCCCTACCAAAAGCCCGGCCCGTGCCC